ATCTCTGATTTCTCTCCATAGATGCTGCCAGACCTGCTGAGCTTTTCCAGCAACTTCTGTTTTTGCTTCTGATTTCCAGCAGTTCTTTCAGTTTTTAGACTGACTTCACTCTTTCTATATTACTTTGTTTTGTAGCTGTAGGGGAGTGATGATGTATAGTTTTGCCCCTGGACTGGCAATCCAGAAATCCAGGCTGATATTCTGAGGACATGGGTTCAAACCCCATCATGGCAGATGGTGAAACTGGAATTCAATAACTTAAACAAAACTGGAAAAAAATCGAAAAGGTCACCAAGTAACAAGTCCTGCTTACACCAAGAGATGTGGCTGAATCGATTGATTCGAAATATCTGTGATCACTGTGAATTGTTGCAAAAACCCATCTGGTTCACTAACGGACCTTAGGGAATTAAACCTGCCATCTTTACTTGGACTGGTCTACATGTGACTCCAGACCTACAGCAATGTGGTTGACTCTTAATTGCCCTCTGGGTAATTAATAAAGGCTGGCCTAGCCAGTGACACCCACATCCCGTGCATGAGTTTTAAAAATATTAACGCACAGAAATTACTTGAATTTTTTTTATTTTTACTTGAATATTGCAATACATACCTGACAACACCATCTCAAGTATAGACTGCGCAGGGAAGACATTGTAGAGAGATAGCCAAGTCCAGTGTCAGTAATCCGCACGCATCTACAACATCAATGACATGTGGAACAATTAGGAGGAGTGAGGGGAATAAACATTGCAGTAGCATTCAACTGAAATTAACAGCCAGCTCCACAAACTGTGACTGGCAACTTGTCACTGTCAACTGCGATCATTACTCAAGTGGACTTGAGCGGTTTTCAATATTCGGTACTACCAACACTGTGTACTGTAGAACTCAATCTGGTTCTGCTCAGGAGAAAGCGTAAGACTTTTAAATTAATCAAATGATAATTAAGACCAATCAGTAAGCCCTGTTGAGTGTTTTACTCTGCTAACGTGTCACTGCAATAAAACAACTAAAAAGTGGTCAGAACAATTAAGTGGCTCTTAGATGTTAACATTTGGGACATTATTGAACAGAACTGCTCTGTGTGACTCCCGCCACTGGAGTATACATGCACAATTTCAGTAAAATCGAGTAGTCTGTCATCTAGAATCCGATGCAATATTATTTTGCACTCTGACAAGGGCAGAACACGTTTCCTACGATGCTCAGTAGGAAGCTGCTGCGATAGATCTTGCAATGGCCAGTTAATCTAGTTTTTCTGCAGGGTCACAATCTCAACCATCCAAGGAAGTGGAGAGAATGCTAGTTCACTGCTGATTTTGAGGAGTCAGGAGGTGAGTTACTCTCTGCAGGACTCCCAACCTCTAACCTTGTATCCTGGAATTTGATCTACAGGGGCAATGATCTAGACATGTGCCAGGGAATGAGTTAGAAAGAATTCAAGGCAGGGGTTCTAGCATCATTGAGCAAGAAGGCAGATTTCACCCCTTCTCAATAACTTGAAGTAGTGTTTAGTCATCAGTAGTATCAGCACTAAGTCATTTGTTTAAACCAACATGATTGGTGACTCCTAATGCACGAGATTAACAGGTATTTCAGTTTCCGTATTTTATCAATTTTTTCCTCCTTCGGCAATGAAGATGTTGCTCTTCTGATTTTGTCTGTAAAGTTTCCAATTATAACCTTTCCAGGGGAGAGGACAAGATCTCACATACAAGCAGGTATATACAACCAAGCAGAAGGCTGCAGATGTGGGAGATGTCAAACTGAAGTGCTCAGCAGATGGGCTTGCTCCAACAAAAAGTTCCATATTGAGTAAATGAAGCGATAATAAGTGTATATTTAATTGTACAATTACATTTCATACAGAAAATGTAATGCTGTATGGAGGGGGCACTCTATGAAATTTTTATACATGAGTGTTCTAGAGCAAATATGAGTGAGAAACCCTCGTTATACAAAAGAGCAAATTGGTAGAAGGGATGACAAAGATTAAGAACCTCGGCAGGGCAATCTCATTATTGTTAAAATATACTTATGAGTGTTTCTTTGAAAAATATTTTTTTCTCAGGTTCAGAAAGTACTTATTCTTTGAAGTTACTATAGATTCGCTCTAAACTCATGATGGAACACATTAATGCAGAATTGGAGGGGACATTACTGTTTTATGTCAAGGGTGCCACTAATGGCTCAATTTCCTTTAGCCACCTATGCTAACTACTTCCGAAGCCTTACACTTAGCCCAAAACTCCAGCTAATTTGGTTACATTTAAGTCATTACTTTCATCAAATGTTCCTCCAATTTCAAAGGGCAGGATTATGTGAAACTCCCAGGATTGGGAAACGAGGCAAGTGGGTGGCACTTAATTGGGTAGGAGGCAAAACGTCAGCTGCCTCGCATAAAAACTGGATAAAAGTTACTGGCAGATTGGTTTAGGGGTTGGGGGGGGGGGGGGGTCGGGATGAGATGGAATCACAGCAGGAATCTCATTTTAATACATTAGCGCATCGTGCACACTCACCAAACACAACTTTGCCTCGTTAAATTGTACCTTGGGATTTAAGTATGCAGCAAATGGGAAACATGACTGAGGACTCACAACTGGTCAAAGGTGGTGTATAGTATTTAAGGTCTTGCTGGTGGTTTTGGAATGAAGAAACTTAGAAACATAGAAGATAGGAGCAGGAGGCCATTCAGCCCTTTGAGCCTGCTCCACCATTCATCATGATCGTGGCTGATTGTCCAACTCAACAGCCTAATCCTGCTTTCTCCCCATAACCTTTGATCCCATTCACCTCAAGTGCTATATCTAGCCGCCTCTTGAATACATTCAATGTTTTGGCATCAAATACTTCCTGTGGTAGCGAATTCCACAGGCTCACCACTCTTTGGGTGAAGAAATGTCTCTTCATCTCCATCTTCAATGGTCAGAATCCTCAGACTGTGACCCCTGGTTCTGAACACTGAGCCCTATTCTGCTTCTACTATTTGCTGTACTTTGTTGAAGCAAGGGGAGGAGACTCTGATGTACTGAAGCCACGTGGTGGTTGTGAAAGGTGAACAGGGAGGACTGACTGAGGGGTGGAGTGGTGTTGGTACCTGGCAGCCCTACAAAGGCTCATGCAGAATAGGGCAGGAAGCTGGATCACCCAAGGGAAGGTCATTGTCAGAGGATGGCAGTTCCATGCACGACAATGTAGATATCAATGGTGAAGAACTGAGAAGTGAAGATAACCGAGGGCAGGTCAAGGAGGATTGGTGGAGATTCGAGAATGGCAAATGGTAAGCTGAGAGTAACAGTTGGGCAGTTCCAGTTTGCCTCAGGACTAATCAATGGTGATGGGAGGGGGAGCTCTGATTGATAGATGGTCAAGCGTGACCGGGAAGGGGTAATGGTGAGTGGATTGAGAGACACCAAAGGTAGGACAATTGAGAGACACCTCAGACAAAGCTGTGACACCTCCCCACCTTCCCCTTTCATTCAGATTCAAGCCATAATGAGGTCCATGCAAGTTCTCTTCATCTACTCATGAAATGACAAGAGATGACAAACTTTTCACAGAGACTGAGGCTTTTGGGTGGCAGGGAGTGAATGCCTACCTGGGTGCCACTTGTGATGTGGATAAGTGATTATCAATTATGGAGGAAGGAATGAATTATTTAAACCATAGAAATGACATAGCGGCATTAACGATACCAGGATCTTCAGAAATGCTTCGACTCTGTGAGGGAACAGGGGAACCAATGGCTCCCAGCTCAATCTCTGCCACGCGCTTGGTGGGGAGCATCTGATTGAGTAACCACCATGCGATTACACATGTCTAGTGTCTACACCTTCCAAGTGGCAGTGCCCCCCACCCACCCCCCAATTCAGGTCCCACCATCAGAACTCTTTGGCATGAGAAAAAGATTCCACCCAAAGTCTGCACTTAGCGTTATCTCATTTGTTATTGCCTCTAGTTGGCCAATTGACAAATTACAGGCTACAGGATGGCCGTGAGGTGGAGTTGGGCAAGTCTCAAGATTCTTTGGAAAGGAATTGATTCACAAAGTGCTGCTTTCAGTGATTCCCAGGCAGCGTCACAGACTGTGCAGGTAGAAACACCGCCACATGAACAATGCTATTCCCCTTTATACTGCAGTATAACATTTTATTGACTTTGGCACCTGGCGTGCAATAATGTCACTCCTTTTTTTCCCACAAAAAAACCATTAGACATATTGTTTTGTGATTGATAATTCTGATGATCTAATTCCTCAGCACAATTGCTGCTTTTAACAGTACCCTTACAAAACATAATGTTATATAAGTTCCTCTGATAAAGCAAGTCCAGCTTTAATGCCAAAAGCAATAATTTCCTAAGTCTCTTTCTTTTAGCCAAATGGGCAGGTGTGTGAAAAGAACAACTACATTCAGAGTTACAGGGATAAATCACGCAGGGGCCTGGGCCAATCAGTCCATTCAACAAAGTTTTGTCTAAGATCAAATGACAAAAGAGACTGCTGCTGAGCCTTCAATTAATCAGAGGAAGAAGGGACAAAATGGCTAATTTTCTCAGTTGAAGTGTGGTTGTGGGCTCATTTCAAGGTCAAATACTGATAATTATAGCAGCAGAAACATCAGTAGCCTGGAAATAAATCTGCTCCAAGCAGAACCTGAAAGAAATTGAGCTGACTAATGTGCCAAAAATGCTGCTTATACGCTTCCTCCAACTTTCCACAGACTCCACTCAGGACAAATCAGTCCAGAAATCTACATTAGTTTCAATAATTTATATTCCTGCCATTCAATTTTCACAAGCGCAGTCAATCCACTTTTAGCAAAGATAAAGCTACCGTACTTCTTAGATTTCTCAAACATGCCTTCTGATATAACACACCACATATTTACAGTAATACTGCTGTACTATACCCTACACTAACACATCAATCTGTAGTATACCACAACATCTAATAAAAAAACAAACCATTATAAAACTCACTTACACAATTGACCCTACATGGAATTATTATCATTTCATTGTTTTTTGTTCGTTATGTTGTCCATGATGTTTCATTTAATGTGCTACGATTTTATCAAATGGCATGAACTGTAGCTAATATCATTTGAAGTGTTTTCCCTTCGAAAGGATGAATATATACAGAGAATATCAATAATGAAGGAAGGAGTGAGCTCTTTGAATCACAGAAAGACGTGTACGATGATATCCTGCCATTAATGATACCTATATATTCACAAACACTTTACAGCCAATGAAAATTCTTGAAGTGTGATTCCTGTTATAATTTTAGAAAACTTGAGAAATCTTATTTTTATTCTCTCATGGGAGATATGCGTCGCTATCTGGGTCAGCAATCATTTCCCATTTCCTAGATGTCTTTGAGAAGTTGGTGATTAGCTGCCTTCTTGAGCCACTGCAGACCATGTGCTGTAGGTAGTCTTTGCAGCAAAGACCTTCAAGCAGCAATGAGATAAAAGACCAGATCATCTAACTTCGTAATTTTAGCGGAGGAATAAATATTGACCAGGACGCTGGATAAATTCCATGTCCTTCTTTAAATAATCCTTGATTAGCCATTTGCCAGGACCCATACTGAAAGCTCCTAAGATTTGGCATTTGTCTCTATCATTACCTTGATGTTTAGGAGAGATGGAAGAAGGGATATAAAACATAAATGCTGATCAGAGACCTG